ATTTGTCAAAAAAGACAAAATGATTTTCTAGAAGCGGAAGCCTAGGATAGTGTCTGAAGCTAGAGTTCTAAATAACATAATAGGATGATAGTGAAAGATAGAGTGAAAGGAAAGACAACAGATGGGGCCTGCAGGCAAGAGACGCTGTGTAGCTGGAAAGCATCAAAAGAGCAAGCAGATACTTGTGACAGAAAATGCAATGTATGTTTTCAATATATGTGCACATCAAATTATTGTGACAACTGATAATGAAAGAATAGATTTCAGTATTCACTAAGTTGGTGCTACAATGGAATTGTGCAGTTGTTCCCTCCTATACAGTGTACAATGAGACTGAAACCTACAGGTAACAAGTGTTAAATTTAATGCAAAACAAGTAATTAAAGTTGGACTGAACAAAACTAGTGTCTGAAGAAACAGAAAGAAAAAAAAATTCAGAGAGCATGCTACCTGTAGTACTGAGTTGATAACCGATAAAGGACATACTTGTCACCATAGCTTTTTCTGAAAACTGGAGATAGAGGCAGGAATCAAGTATATCAGAATACCTGCACAATGTGATGGATTCTTTAGTGTTCCTGTTGTTTGATCAGTTGGAATTAAAGATGTAAATAGGCAGCAAGGGAACTTTGAAAGAGCACATTGAGAGAGTTAGTCTGTTCTTAAAAAGTGTGATGAGATTTTTAGGGGCTAGCGCAATAGATTTTTCTCAAAATTTAGAGTAAGAGATGTCAGTGCTGAAAGTGAGCTGACCACATAAGAACATAGGAAAACAGATTTCAGCAGATATTAGATTAGACTGGTTGCAGATATATGCAAATCAGGATGAGAAGTACCCAAGAAGGGAGCAGTGGGATGACTGAATGAAGACTTCATGTGTAATAAAAAAGATTGCCAGTTATATGCACATGCCCTGCGAAAGGAGATGCAGATTCCCTAGAAAAGGACTTTCCATTGTAGCACTGCTGTACTTTAGGACTTTTTATAAACTTAGCAAGGAGTCTGACTGTTCTGTTGTTTGGTTGTTTTTACTTTAATGAAGGAAAAAAGAAACTGGGGGGGGTGGGAGGGAGGGGAGGAGAGGAGAACCAGAAGAAATTTAAAGAGTAGACTAGACCTGAAATTGTAACAAGGAGACCTTGAAACTGAGGTAAGGAGGACACAACTAAAAGAAATGGTTTCAAATGAAATCTGTCAGTGTCTTATCCATTTAGAAAGGAATGTTATGTCTCGCACGTAGCTAGCATCCTTTGTTCTGTTAAATGGTGGAAAAATCTCTTTGTGGGGTCTTATCTAGGTCTGCCTGTTTAATCACATTAATAGATGGCAAGTATCATGCTCATAATTGAAGACTCTGATCCTCAAGAGTAATTTTTTATTCCCTCTGATAGTGTTGCTTTCCCCTCAGCACATACCCCCTCCCTTCTGCATTGTCTCTCACTCTTCTGCTCTTGTATCGTTTCCTCTGATCTGTGTCCACAAGCCTATATGAAGGTAGGAGCTA